AGAGGGGGGGGGGGTGGGGGTCCACAAAATCCGCTAACCCTGGAACCCCATAAGAGTAAATCTGGCCTATGGGAAACCCTGAACCGCAGTGCTCCCTGTCCTTCCTCCTCCCCTGCATGGTCCTGAAGCACCAGAAGAGTGAGATCTTTCCGTTGGGGATCGCATCAGTGAGGGTTGGGGATTTTCGGATGAGTTTTTTTTGCTTCTGACTTGTGTGGTCCCCAACTGATTTTTCTGTGTGTTAATGACTCCCTCTCTCCCCCCCTCCGACCCAAAAAAGTTTCCCCACCCCTTCCATAAATAATAAAAACATGGAAACCTTTTGTATTGAACATAAGAACGGCCGTACTGGGTCAGACCAAAGGTCCATCTAGCCCAGTATCCTGTCTGCCGACAGCGGCCAGCATATGGACCGAAGACAACGATCAAGCGATTTGTCTACTGCCATCCTTCTCCAGCCTGATAAACAGAGGCCAAGGACACCATTTTATCCCCTGGCTAATAGCCTTTTATGGACCTAACCTCCATGAAATTATCTAGCTTCTCTTTAAACTCTATTATAGTCCTAGCCTTCACAGCCTCCTCTGGCAAGGAGTTCCACAGGTTGACTACACGCTGTGTGAAGAACAACTTTCTTTTATTCGTTTTAAACCTGCTACCTGTTTGATAAACTAGCATGAGAAAGTTAAAATGTTTAGTCTGTTTAATAATTTCAATGAGTATTTCCTTTCTTTCTGGTTACATTAAACCGTTTGTCCAAGCTGCAGCACTAGCAAAATGGCTCAGGTATATCTATGTAATTAACAGCGAGTTTCCATTAGCAGCTGGTGGTCCACATAAAGGTTTACATTGAGCCAGGTGGGTCATGGACCGAAAAGATTGAGAACCACTGGCATAAGGGGTTGGGTGATACTGGGCAGGGAGGCAGTGTGCTAGACACACTAGCAATGCAGGGCTGGAGCTGGGGGTGCAGGCAGGAGGGAAGTGCAGGGGTTGGGCTGAAGATGGTTGTGCAGAGGTTGGGGTGAAGGTGATAAAATGTTGGGGTAAGAGGAACAGTGTAGGAGTCAGAGTGCAGGAAAGGCAGGAGTTAATGGCAAAGGAGGCACAAGATGGTGGCCCAGGAGATAGAGAGCCCATTGCAGCCAAGGGAAATGGGGGGGCACCATGCCTCAAGAGGAGGGGCAGGGGCACCAACATACAAGTTCACCCACAGAGCTATTTTCCCTAAAGCTGGCCCTGATATTTTGGCAGACTGGCAACATGTTATTTGCATATTCATCATTTGCATATTGAATATGCAAATAAAATATTATTGGTCCACTAAAAGTTTGTGAATGGGTTTCCTGGTCCGCAGAGTAAAAAAAGGCTGGGAGCCACTGATCTACAGCACTTCCGTTATGACCACCCTGCCGCGTTGAAAGTGCTGCCGCTCTAAGCTTGTATGTGTAGTAGACAAAACCAAAGTGAGTCACCAGTATGAAAAAGGATTCTTCAAAAATGGTCATTCTATATCCACTTTTTGACCTAAAATGACAGTTTCCTTATCTTTACCCATTACAAAGATAGCTTCCCCAATTATCACCTCTAATATCATTAACTCACAGACATTTACCTTCCTTCCCCCCTCCTTCATCCCCCTTCTGTTCTGAAATTTGATTTGTTCTTTTCATATGTGTTCATTTTTTTAATTGTATCCTTTGGTATATATGGTTGTGACAATTTTCTTCCAATATTTGATCTGAGGAAGTGGGTCTGGCCCACGAAAGCTCATCACCTAATAAACCATCTTGTTAGTCTTTAAAGTGCTACACGGTCCTGTTTTTTGTTTCAGTATGAAAGCAACTTCTTCAGGCAACCCCAGCCACAAGAACACCACAGAGCTATTTCTTTTCACCTGGCACTGCTGTGTGTCACCCAGAAGTTCACAGCAGCAGAAAAGGCCATGGGTTTATTCAGCGTGTTGTTCACTGTGTGGACCTGCCAGCCGCTGAGAGCCAGATGCCACGCTTGTTAAAACCTCACTGTAGTCTCATCTGCACGCTCTAAAAATGCTCGATAACCTCCGCAGAGCGCGAGGCAGAGCACGGATTATTAACCCACCTCCACAAAGGCAGCCTAAACGCTTGATGATAAAAAACTCCAAGTCAGATCCTACGTTAAGTTCTGCTCATGTAGAATCCCTCAGCCCTCTGTATCTCTCCACTCTGGATCTGTCTCCCTCCCATCAAAGTTCATCTTAGCCCAGGCTTTCTAATCTCTCCTGGCAGACGTCCGCCAGCTACCCACTGAAACACACCTTGGCCTGACGCAAGCGCTTCCTCTATCCCTGCTGATACGAGACGACAAGCCTGTTGGCCTAGAGCAACAGAGAATTCATTGCTCGGGGCTTGCTCTATAATTCTAATAGTGGAAAAAAAATCACTCTTTTCCCATCACAAAATTACAAGGTCTGAAATATGCCGGGAGCAATATCAGCAAGGAGATATTTACGGTAATTAACGCCAGCGCCTCACCTCATTCTCATAGTTGCCTCAATGACAAGGCAAGGGAAGATGTGCTTGGACTGACCTCGCTCTGATACACAAGCTAACCACTTAAGCCCATTCCTGAGCAGTGAGGAGGGTAGAAAACACACACTCCTGAGAGATGGCAGAGGAACACACTGACCCCTGTGCAAACCAGGAGGGATGAGGGGATAATGGACACGGATGTTTTGTTCCAATAAGCAAGTATAAGGATAAGGGGGCAGCAAGACACGGAGCTCAATGTGCACCTTGTTCGTGTCAATGTATGAAAGGGGAAGTCACAGGAAGGGCATGTAGGTGCTGGCTGAAGGGCAGAGTTCAAGTTGCTGGCTGAGCTGGTACAATCGTCGGGGTGGGACACGTCTCACTGTACCTGGGCCCGGGGAGCTGGGACACAAGCACCCTGCTCCTTCAACAATAAACCTGGCCAAGCGCCTTAGCCCCCGAATGGAGCCTGGGTCTTTCTTTAGCAACAACCCTGAGGTGTGCTGCATGGGCAAGCCACATGCTTTGCCAGTGCCGCTGGCATCAGAGCTCCAGACAGGGCCGCCCTGAGCAGCCATAAGGATGCTCTGTGGCACTAGCAGCAATTTGTATGGTGCTGCAGCTGCTATGGGAAGCAAAGATTATCAATCACAGCAGCACCTGGGAACTCCAGTGTAAATCAGGACTCCACTGTGCTATCGGGGTGCTCATATGGAGCTAAGCATCACCCCTCTTTACTGTAGGTATCCTTCCCCCGCCCTGAGAAACAGGGACACACTATAATAGCTATTGCAGAGATAGGCAACCACACACAGAGGCAGTGTCTAGATTGGCCAGTTTTTCCGGAAAATCAGCCGCTTTTCCGGAAAAACTTGCCAGTTGTCTACACTGGCCACTTGAATTTCCGCAAAAGCACTGACTTCCGACTGTAAGAAATCAGTGCTTCTTGCAGAAATATTATGCTGCTCCCATTCAGGCAAAAGTCCTTTTGCACAAAAGGGCCAGTGTAGACAACTCAGATTTGTTTTCCGCAAAAAAGCCCCGATCGCGAAAATGGCCAATCTAGACGCTCTTTTCCGCAAATGCTTTTAATGGAAAACTTTTCCGTTAAAAGCATTTCCGGAAAATCATGCCAGTCTAGACACAGCCAGAGGGTCTAAGTGACTTGACCAAGTTCACACAGGAATCTGTGACAGGTGCAGAGAACTGAACAAGTCTCCTGAGCTTGAAACCAGACATTCAAATAGAAAGAAAAAGTCCCGACCCAAAGATATTTCACTCTAAAAAGACAAGACAGATGACGTGATTATCGCCATTGCACACTGAGGCAAGTGAGCCCCCGAGAGAATAAAGTCAGACTTTTCAAAGAACCCAGGTCCTGTGACTCAAAAGCAGGAAGAGCTCTGTGCACATTTATCTACTACAGAGCTACCCTCCACAGAGCGCTCACAGAGCCTGAACTGCCTCAGCCACCCTCCCTCAGCCCCAACCCCTCTCCCTGGCAGGAAGCAGCATGTCACAGAGATCAGCCACAGCCAGGAAAGGACTCTGGGAACTGCACCCTCCTTCCAGGGGCTCAGCCCACTGGCATAAGGGAATCCTGCAGGCACTAACAGCAGCCGGACCCAGCCCCACAACTTTGGTATCTGCTGGTCCTGCCTGGACCCGCCCCACAACTTTGGTATCTGCTGGTCCATCCCAGACCGTTCAACTGTCACCTTTGGCCAAGGCACAACAAGGGCAAGATGGTGGGGAAGCACATTGAGACCTTGGCTGTAGGAAGAGCTGCACCTTTATATCATGTCCCTCAACCTGTTTCCCCTGAGAAAGGGCATGGAGGGGACAGTCTCTCACATAGAAGCCAGGATCATTGGGGCTCATACTCCAGACATTGGGGGGGGTCGGGTCAGGGGACAATGAGGGACCCTGAACCTAACCCAACCCAGCTGCTCCAGAGCCACCCAGCTTCTGATACCTGAGAGGACAGGAATTCTTACCCAGCCAGCTCACAGCCTCATAATTCTCCTGCATCACATCCCTGTAGAGGGCTCTCTGGCCCGGGTCCAACAGAGCCCATTCCTCCTCTGAGAAATACACAGCCACCTCCTCGAAGGTTACTGGCTCCACCACAGCCATTTTCTTTCCCTGGCTCTGCAGGCCATGAGCTATGATAGAGCAAGACATGGGTGTTCTGCAGCCTGTCGGGGGAGAAAGGCAATTGGAGACATGTCAGAAGGGGCTTTAATCCTTTCCACACCCCCATTCTCCCAGACTCTGTCCCTGGTGACATGCATGCTAGCCTCTGCCATTTTGGGCAAATACACACCCCCATTCTCCCAGACTCTGTCCCTGGTGACACACATGCTAGCCTCTGCCATTTTGGACAAATGCTCCATAAAGAGCACACACAAGTTTGTGCATTTGGAATCTTTCATGTCTGTCAATACCTGGCTTGAGTTTCAACACAACTGCACCTGCAACAATGGGATTCGGTTCTGAGCACCCAGTGTTTCTGACAAACCAGCGGCTTATTTACCTGTCTGACTGTGGATGCAGTAAAAGCCCTCCCCCCTGAATCCTCCTGCATTTATTTGTAGCACAGAGGTAAGCCCTCTCATAGGGCTAAACAGACAGATTTTATAAACCCTCTCCACAGCAGAGATGAAGAGAAGACAAAAGGCCCACTTGCAGCAAGGGTGGGAATCTTTTCTGGGTTAGGGGGCCCACTGACCCACAGAAAAATCAGTCGGGGGCCACACGCAAGTGAGAAGCAAAAATAAACAAAATAAAATCGTACCCTCCCCCACACCTTCCCTCTGTTCCCTCCTAGTTCCCCTCAGCCCCATGACTCCTCCCCCGCAGCCTGAGTCTTAATCCTCCTTCCCCCACATAACCCATGCACCCCAGCGCTCTATAATTCTCACCCTCCCCACTGCGCTCCCCGGCCGCACACAGCGAACTGGGTGAGAAGCAAAAATAAACAAAATAAAATCGTACCCTCCCCCACACCTTCCCTCTGTTCCCTCCTAGTTCCCCTCAGCCCCATGACTCCTCCCCCGCAGCCTGAGTCTTAATCCTCCTTCCCCCACATAACCCATGCACCCCAGCGCTCTATAATTCTCACCCTCCCCACTGCGCTCCCCGGCCGCACACAGCGAACTGGAGCGATTCCAACAGCTGGCCTGAAAGTTCGCTCCTTAAGGCAGGCTGCGCAGGCGCCCTTCCCCCTGCGCGCGGAGCACGCGCAGTAGGCGCGACTGAGGCGGGCTGC